AGCATTCAATTCTGACTAGGGCAGTACTGACTCTTACTTGAAAGTAGACTTGGTCTATCTAAGACTATTGACCTGGACTTGAACTCACACCATGACTCAGATAGAAATATTAAATATTTATGGTCTGAACTCAAATATTGATACTTGACTCCAACATGAACTTAGATATCGCTGATTTGGACTAATGACTCGGACTCCATTATGAATAATATAACTTAAACTTGGACATCTGTGACTTGTGGTCCCTCAGTGTATCTGGAACATTTAAACAGGATATGGGACTGGCCTGAACTGTATTACTTCAGGAGGAAAGTGGCATTAACTGAGTGAGGAACAATGTAAGTTGTGGGTCTCTGGACTGACTGCAACCAATAAAACATCTAGTACAGCATTGGATTAAATATTTATGAATTGATCTTGGACTGGGACATGAATATTGATGACTTCGACTTGGACTCTACTATCACTGACCTGAGTATGGACTATCTAAGACTTTGACTTGTACCCAGACCAGAATAAACAATTTGGACTTATTGGACATAAATGAACATTGACATCACTGTGAACCAGAGTTGGATTTGGACACATATTTTGGCAGCTTGGACTTGAGCTGGAACAAGGATTAGTACTGTCCCCTAATAGTCTACCAAACTGTTGATGAGACCTTCCATCAGTCTGACAGTTCACAAAAACTTAGACGTGGACATGAATATCAATTACTTCAACTTGTAGTCTGACATTAATATTTACCACTGGGATTGGTACATGGGCATATATATTAATAACTTTGACTTTTGGGATGCCTGGTTAGCTCAGTTGGTGGAGCTGGCGACCCATGTACCGAGGCTGAGTCCTTGCTGCAGCGGCCCAGGGTTCGAGTCCGACCTGCGTGTCGTCCCCTCTCTCTGCCCTTTCCTGTCTGTCTTCAGCTGTCACTATAATAAAAAAAAATATATATATTTTTTTTTACTTTTGGACTATTGACTTCAACTTCGACATGAACTTTGATTACTTTGACTTCTACTCGGAGCTAACCAGACTGCTCCAGATGATTTGTTACACATAAAAGGATAAAAGGATAGATTGGATGAACCATCTGTCTATCACTTCAAGAATGTAGTACATACAAGCAAAAATACCCCTTTATGCTGATGACATAGTTATTTATACACATGATCTCTCCATAGCACAGCAAGAGCTTCAGACTTTATTTCAGTCATAACAAACTTATCTGCAGAGTCTAAAATTGGTTTTAAATGCTGAGAAGACAAAGTTCATAGTCTTCTCTAAAGCTTGCTTACAGTTGCTTGATGATTTTAGTATTTTCACATCTGATAGTAAATCCATATAAAGGGTGCCCTCGTACAAGTACCTGGATATCTGGATAGTAAACAAGCTTTGATTTAATGTACATATTGCTACTCTAGATTGGAAGCTCAAAGTGAAAACTGTCTGTGATTGATTATGTTGACATATTGTAGATGCATGCTGCCTCCTCCATCGTATCTGTCTCTATCAAATAAATCCAAAAAATAAAATACACCATGCAATAAAGGCATTTTAATTGTTTAAAAGAGATTTTTATGTACAAGTAACTTGCATTTAGACTCCGACATTAAAGACACATTGACTCAGACATAAATGTGAGGATTTTAGTTGATGTACGTTGGTGTTATACGACGACCAAAAGCAGATGTTTTTACACTTGAATGTCTGGATGTACTCTCTATTTCTGTCTGTCTGTCTGTGAGTCTGTGTGTTTGTGTGTTTGTGTGTGTGTGTGTGTGTGTGTCTGTCTGTCGGTTTGTCTTTCTGATGTCTGAAACAGAAAAACTCAGTTAAAATGCAGTTGAATCATCAGTTGTTGGTATTTTTAGCTCATCTGTCAAACTGTCGGAAGCTGCTTTTTTTGTTGATTTTCATCCTGTTTTCTGCCGACTTTCAGTTTCAAACACAATCACACACACGCACAGACTCTCACACACACACACACACACACACACACACACACACACACAATCTTTTAAATGTAATCTCCAACTGTGCTTATTTCCTGATGTATACACTGTCCATCTGTGTGTGTTAATCAGGGCGATGGATCTACACACACAGTGACAGTCTCTGCTAGGTGATCTTTGACCTTTACAGAATTATCCATTGAAAGTGTGCGTGTGTGTGTGTGTGTGTTAATTAAAGGCTTTCATTAGACGCTCCTCTGATCACATAATCTGTTGACGTGTGATTGGCTAACAGATGATTGGTTAGTGTCGGGCACTCTGATGGTTTAAAACCTGTGACATCAGTCAGTTAATGTTCGTCTGTGATCTGATCGGTCGGGACCCGTCCAGCTGCAGCAGTTATTTTAAATAAACTGAGGGAGAAAATGAAAAAAATCAAAGGCAAATTCTGACATATGGATCGATGATTGGTGGACAGAATTACAAGGTTAAATAGAATTCACAGGAATTGATTGAATTTGTATTCATTGTTTTGATCGTAGCTTCCTGGAGGTTCTGATATGATGCCAGTAAAAACCCAATCAGATAGATGAAGAGATAATACAAATGATCAATATATTTGTCTTTTGGTACATTTATTTTAGACAACATATTTTCTGTTATTCCCTCTGATACAAAGTTTTATAGCCCTAGCTACTTATTACTAGCGGTCAACTACTTTAGCCACTATCTGTAGCTGCTACTGTTAGCTGGTCAGCAGCTAATTTAGCCGTCCTACGAGGTGGGTCGGGTCGGACTGTGAGCTCAGAGCACGGCTGCAGGGTCGGTCTCTGCTACAGGAGCTGTGGAACTCTCCTTTAATAAAAAGAAAAGACCAAATATTTAATTTAAGTTGATACCGTTTCTCTTCTACTTGTGATTGGCTTGTGTGCATAATTATTATGTATGTCGTTATATTTCATACAATCAATCCAACATCAAACTGACTTCATGCTGCTTCATTGATTAACTGATTGATCTGATTGCAGGAATCTTGGGAAATCTGGACTGAGAGTGTCCTGCTTAGGACTGGGTGAGAAAACACACACACACACACACACTTACATATATACCACACAGTCAGTCAGTGATGTTCTTTCTCTTTTCACAGGAACATGGGTGACATTTGGCTCTCAGATCTCTGATGAGGTACTCTGCGTGTGTGTTATAGAGTGTGTGTGTGTGTGTGTGTGTGTGTGTGTGTGTGTGTTTGTTATAGAGTGTGTGTGTGTGTGTGCTGAACGCATGAACAAACAATTACATAACCATTACTGTAGGTTTCTGCACACGTTAATGTGGGTTACTGCCTCTGTGTGTAGATGGCGGAGAGCGTGATGACGGTGGCGTACGACAGTGGAGTGAACTTGTTCGACACAGCAGAGGTTTACGCCTCGGGGAGGTACAGTACAAACTGTCTGTCTGACTGTCTCACCTCTCAGTGAGTGTGTTTCCATCCGTCTGCTTGATGCTCATTTTCAATGTGATAAAGTCTCATTCAGACGTTCACTGAGCTCCTCGCTCATGTTAACTCTGCTGAAGGTTTTTCAGATTCTCCAGGATGTGTGGGCGTTATAAAGTATAGTCACATCTCAATGTCCTTCACAGCATCTAAAGTAGCAGCTGATTTAAGCACAAAGCCATTCAATATGTTCAACAATCAAAGTACGAGGCTGCAGCTCCAGCATGAACCCCTCCAGAGGGATGAGGGAGTGACCACACCTCCAGTCTGAATGAGGCTTTGGTGAAGAAACGATGAAATCCAGTCAGAACAATAAAGGGTTAATGTGTGTGTGTGTGTGTGTGTGTGTGTGTGTGTTTTAGGGCAGAGACGACTCTTGGAAACATCCTGAAGAAGAAAGGATGGAGGTAAACAGATGTTTACTGTCTGTCTCTCGTTCTTCCTGCAGCTGTGAAACCATAAACACTTACACACACTCATTATTGTAGAATATTAAATGAGTCACATATAAACATCAGGGCGTCTATTTACAGGTCCGTCTGTGTGTGATGACACAGCAAACCGGGATAATAATAAACTGTATTTTGTCTTGAAGATGTGACTCAGCAGTTTTTCATCACATGCTTCATCACGTCCTTTTAATCTTCTCTCCTCCTCCTCCTCCCTCCATCCCTCACAGTAACTGATGCTGACACCAATAACTCTCTCTCTCTTTGTCTCTGTGTGTCTCTCTACCAGGAGGTCCAGTTATGTGGTGACCACTAAGATCTACTGGGGAGGACAGTGAGTGCTGACATCACACCATCAGCTGGATTTCAATATGTTTCACTGCAGTAACGTGTGTTATTACACTGTGTGTGTGTGTGTGTGTGTGTGTGTGTGTTCACAGGGCGGAGACAGAGCGAGGGTTGTCACGGAAACACATCATTGAAGGTAAACAACATTTAAAATCTAAACGTCAGCATTGATGTTTTCCATGTGTTTGTTTTATATTCCAAATACACTCCATAGTGTTTCTACAGCAGCTCACACCCCAGGTTCTCCCTCACACTTCACAGCCCGTTCTCATTCCCAGGTTGAAAGATACAGATGCGAGCAGTGTTCAG